TTGCTGCAAAAGGTGGATCTACAAAGTATTGACTTTGGGAGGGTGAATAGTTATGCATGCTCAAGTTTTCTGTTTTTTTGTCTTATTTCTTGTTTGTTTCACAATAAAAAATATTTTGCATCTTCAAAGTGGTAGGGATGTTGTGTAAATCAAATGATACAAACCCACCAAAAATTCATTTCAATTCCAGGTTGTAAGGCAACAAAATATGAAAAATGCCAAGGGGGGTGAATACTTTCGCAAGCCACTGTATGTAGGTACATAATATAAATTATACATGTCAGAATGTGTATAGTGTGTGTGCGTGTGTGGTGTGTATGTATGTGTGTGTGTGTGTGTGTGTGTGTGTGTGTGTGTGTGTACACCCGCACTAGCCAATGTTTATTTGTTTTTGTTTACAGCTGTGCTATTATTTACAAAGCCACTAACTTAAATCCAATATAGTAGTTAACCTGCTCTTAACCTCTTGTTTGCACTAGAGATGCTGTTCTCATTTTCTTGTGCAGTAAGCCTGATGGGGGCTGATTAAACAAACTGGTAGAAATTACCCTTGGAATTTTAATATGTGCAGTCTCACAGCATGAGTCTACCGCTGTGGGTGTCTGCTATAAAGCAGAGGAACCACAGTATTTCTGCCTATCTGTAGTAAAATCTTGTTGCATTAAGGCAAAAATGTCTCCTGTCACCACAAATAAGTATAGTCAGAGATTATTCATATCACTGGGTAGTGAACTGATATGAACTGATGAGATGTGTCTTTCTTCCTGAGCTGAGTTGTCTGATCAAACCTCCACTCATGTACTGCAGACCTGGGCAGAAGATAGTTGTATTTTGTAGTTTATTTGAAAATAACAACTTTTCAAATACTTGAGGTAGTCGATTATAATTTATATAGAGTTTCAACTAAAAGGCAACTATTTTCGTTGATATTCAAAAACAGGCCTCAGAAAAACAAATAATATTTGAAAGTATTTTGAACACCTCTCAGAAAACCAAATAATATTTGAAGGTATTTGAATATATGCATGTTATTTGAAAACATAAAATTATTTATTTGATGGCGGCCAAATATCTGATGAACAATCAAAAACCTAAACAATTTAATTAGTGTAAATATATTATCATAAGCACATGGTATGCATCTTAATATATAGCCTATAGCAGGGGTACTCAACTCTTACTCTACAAGGTCCAGAGCCTGCTGGTTTTCTGTTCTACCTGATAATGAATTGCACACACCTGGTGTCCCAGGTCTAAATCAGTCCCTGATTAGAGGGGAACAATGAAAAAATGCGGTGGAACTGGCTTCAAGGTCCAGAGTTGAGTTTGAGGGGCCTATAGCCTAGAATGAAATATATGAGGGACATGGAATCCCCTCAACATTAGACTAGACCACTTTTGCAACTTCAAAATGACTAACAAATATTTTTTCATAACGAGGTGACATAAGGTAATACAGTAACACTTCACATCAAGTTCTTATACATGTCTAGTAACTTTGTGATTATTACAAAAGCAACATTGTTGTGACATAGGACTTTGGACATTTATTTATAACTGCATAATAATGGAGTTATTACATAAGTGGAATAAGGAACAGTCACTAGTTACACAAACTCAGCTCATTGCAATGCAATTAAATTTGCATTTAAGTCATTTAGCAGACGCTCTTATCCAGAGCGACTTACAAATTGGTGCATTCAACTTAGGATAGCCAGTGGGACAACCACCACTGGGGGAGGGGGGGTGTAGAAGGATTACTGTTATATTATTCCAGGTATTCCTTAAAGAAGTAGGGTTTCAAGTGTCTCCGTAAGGTGGTCAGTGACTCCGCTGTCCTGGCGTCGTGGGGGAGCTTGTTCCACCATTGGGGTGCCAGAGCAGCGAATAGCTTTGACTGGGCTGAGCGGGAACTGTGCTTCCGTAGAGGTAGGGGGCTAGCAGGCCAGAGGTGAATGAATGTAGTGCCCTCGTTTGGGTGTAGGGTCTGATCAGAGCCTGAAGGTAAGGAGGTGCCGTTCCCCTCACAACTCCGTAGGCAAGCACCATGGTTTTGTAGTAGATGCGAGCTTCAACTGGAAGCCAGTGGAGTGTGCGGAGGAGCGGGGTGACATGAGAGAAAATGTAAATAACTTGGGAAGGTTGAACACCAGACGGGCTGCAGTGTTCTGGATAAGTTGTAGGGGTTTAATGGCAAAGGCAGGGAGCCCAGCCAACAGCGAGTTGCAGTAATCCAGACGGGAGATGACAAGTGCCTGGATTAGGAACTGTGTCGCTTTCTAAATTAAAATGCAATTACCAACGTATTATGTAACAACATGCTAATAAAATGAAAAAGCAATTCCAGTTTTGTTACACAGGTACAAGAACAGTTTAATGCTAAGTTTTACTGAAAAGGCTAACAGTAACAAAATATGGCAGTTAAGAGTCAAAGGGAAACTACATATCCCAAAACTGCCTTCTTGAATCAACTACAGCCAAGGTCGGTGGAAAATCATGTTAGTTTGTATTCTAAGTAAACTACTCCTTGGTATAGTATGTGTTTGAAACAAGAACACTTAGCCTCAGATGGACAAAGAGGTTCGAAGTTGTTTTTGCTAAGAATCCAATTTGGTGTTTGCAATGTTTGCAAATAGCTTTTAATTTCTCTGCAGTATTTTCAGGTATTATAAAATATATTGCAGCTTTCGACTTTTTCAGTGGCATGTTGAAAGCACAGGTGTCACGACTTCCTCCGAAGCTGCCTCCTCTCCTGGTTCGGGCATGCTTCGGCGTTCGTCGTCACCGGCCTTCTAGCCACTGCCGCTCCTCATCTCATCATTCCATTTGTTTTGTCTTGTTTATTACACAAACCTGGTTCATATCCCCTCATCAGTACTTCTATAAGTGTTCCCTCTGCCCCCTTGTCTTTGTGTGTGATTGTTTATTGTGAGGAGAGTGAAGCTCGGTTGAGCTCCTTGTATTTTGTATTGCCGGGTTATTTCCCATGTGCCTTGTTAGTTCCAGTGCGCCTGTTTTGCGCACTGGACTGTTTTGACGCATTACTGTGTAACTCTGTATTCCAGAATAAATCCAGTTATTCTGTGATTTACCCTCCTGCGCCTGACTCCTTCAAATCACCCACCACAACAGGAGGTTGGTGGCACCTTAATTGGGGAGGATGGGCTCATGGTAATGGCTGGAGTGGAACAAGTGGAATGGTATCAAATACATCAAACACATGGGGTGCCATTTGGAACACAGTCTGTACCCGTCTGATTGACTGACTGTGGGGAAGGGAGAAGATGGCAGTCATTTGGGAGTGGGAAGTATAGCGAGGATGAGCGTCTGCCTTATAAATCAACCAATCAAGCGATCAAATTCATCACAGATGCCTTTCTTATGGAGTGAGTCTAATAGATGTAGCTAGGCCTATAGGACTTGAAGTTTGGAACACTTGACTCACCGACTGTCTCAAACTTGATACATCATTTGTGTCACACTAAAGTTGTATCGCTCATAAACAATGTATTTCATAGCATTCATCACAAAAACACAAACATAATATGACAATGGCCGCCATAGTCATTTCAATGGTTCTATAAACATACTGTAGATCGGTCTATCCAGAGAATGACAGCTCCCTCTAAACCAATAACAACACTTATCTTGAATGTGATAAGAAATGTGTGTGTGTGTGCCTCAGGATGTGTCAATCCTGGCCATTAATTAAAAGTTAGCTACAGTAATTAATTAATTTACTTCAAAACTTTTAGGTCACTGCTGTCACTGCTGTGATTCTGTGTCGGTTACAATGTTTATGCAAATCACTGATAAATAAATTAGGGAGGGGAAAATAGGGAGGGAAAGCAGGGAGTCAGACCAATGAAAATAATGTAGTCCTGTGTAGCTCAGTTGGTAGAGCATGGCGTTTGCAACGCCAGCGTTGTGGGTTCGATTCCCACGGGAGGCAGTATGAAAATATATGCACTCACTAAAACTGTAAGTCGCTCTGGATAAGAGCGTCTGCTAAATGACATAAAATGTCAAACTTTTCAATGAGTAGAGTATGAAACCGATCAGTGCTATGTCTACCTGACATCAGCCATCCACACTACAACATTATGCATATACAATACCGAGTCTAATAGGCTAGTCGATTTGGGATCAATACCCTATGAGGGAGCCTATATCACTCCCTACAAGTTCCCCCAAAAATGCATTTCTCCCTCAGAGCCATGGAGGATGAGAAGACAAAGAGGTGGTCAGCTCTCCCATTGCTCGTGTCCTTGCGCTCAGCCAAGCCTGACACTATCTCCTCATCTGGAAGGAAACACATGCTTTTCACCTTTACATTTCTTCGGGTGCCGGGACGGAGACAGGGAAAAGTATCTCCATCATTATTGCTGTCACAGCGTCAAGTGATCGTTCGTTCCGCATCTCAACGTCCACCATAAATCTCCCGGTTGGGGAGGATATTTTTTGGGATGCACTTCGAGTAGAGTCACCAGAGCGCTCCGTGTTTTATCTGTTGGACATCTCAAGGACCAATCTTGTTTTACACAGGCATAGCTCACAAGACCTCAAACGACACGTTTTGTTAAACGCGATAGCACTGAATAAACTCCTTGTCTGTGACAACAGGATTCAAACTCTCCCAAAGTTTAAGTCCCAGTGCAACATCTCTGGAGAGCGGCTCAGTCTAGAAACAAGACAGGGCTACACAGGGACTCATATCTTATTCATGAGCCACATGCCTGGTGATGCAAGTGAACCCCAATAGTTTCCAAGACTATCAAATCGCCAGCAACAGGTACAATAAGAATTAAAAGTTAAATGTGTATAAAATAGGCTACAAAATAACAGAAATGGATTGGATCATTAATCATGGCAACATATCAACTTCTTATACATGTATGTATATTCCCACTGCCTGCATCCATAGACCTATCCGATTACATATCAAAACATGTTTGTTTAAAAAATCTTACTTTGAAACATTTGCATTTATATAGAGGTCTATGCTGGTCCTCCTCTCTACTTCTCACAGCACCCCTGAAAATGAGGAGAACGTGTTTCTGACCAATAGGGTTAGACAGTGTTGCGGTATGCGCGAATCTATTTCCGGTTGGCTTTAAGTGCGGGAGTTTTTGAGGAGCATCGAGGATTACTTGGAAATAACAACAAAGACAACAAGGTTTGCATTAAACGTTAAAAACCTGTTAAATTCAATGTCTTTGTTTAGATGTATCAACATAAAGTGTTTAGGAACAAGATTATCACGGAAACGCGGGGTTTTGCGAATCATCCAAGGCTTCATCAGAATGAAGGCCATTTCTAGCATGCCATTAGCTAGATAGCTAGTTAGTAATGTAGCTAGCTAGTTAGAGTACCTCGTTAGCAAAATAGTGGAATTGTTTAGCCATCAGTTCGCTGGCTTTTGAAATTGTCTGCCAATCATGGATGCATGCTTGTTACCTATTGGCATTAAGTTCGCTTAACTTCGCTAGCAACTAACAAGTAGTACTAGCCGTTAACTAGGTAGCTAGCTAAATATATAGGAAACGCGTAACTAGCTTCAATGCAACCAAGATAGTTTTTACATTGTGCTGGACTAGCATAATGTAAAAACTCTATTGGTTGCATCGAAGCTAGGAAAAGCTCTCTCGCCACATTTTGTTGTAAAAGTCTAACTCTGGCTAGATTGATGAGTGTGAACTCTGTAGCTAGCTAACGTTAGTTCGTCGAGCCAGCTTGAATCTGACAATAATCGATATAGCTAGCTACCTTACCGTAGTGCTTACCAGATCGATTTGAAAACTCACGTGATTAAGCTATCGTGTGATATGGTGTTTACACGTCATATTCAAACAACTGAGACGTTCAGAAAACTGCTTTTGCAAATACATTGTTGACGGTCAAATAAAGGCATTGCTATCTTGATATATGTTTTAGGAGTATACAGGATACCGTATTGGCTGGTAGTGACAAGATAGTTGTGTTCGTGGTCCTCTGTAGCTCAATTGGTAGAGCATGGCGCTTGTAACGCCAGGGTAGTGGGTTCGATCGCCGGGACCACCCACACGTAAAAATGTATGCACACATGACTGTAAGTCGCTTTGGATAAAAGCGTCTGCTAAATTGCATATTTGAATGAACTAAAATGTGGTAGATGTATATATTGCATAGATCATATATCCGGTCCCTACAGATGCCCCCTAAAGCCCAGGCAGCAGGGAAGGGCAGAGGACCAGCCAAGCGGAAGCTTGCTGAGGAGTTCCCCCCTGGAGAAGTACTAACCGATACCAGCAAGAAGTCCTGGAAACTGGGAGCCCCTATCGGACAGGGCGGCTTTGGACTGCTCTATCTGGGTAAGAGAAGCATGGCAACATGGGTGATAAAACACATATGCTAGTTCATTGATTGTTCATTAATTGATTATTGATCAGGAATATTACTGTATGTCTTGCATATGTATCGCTAGCCCTTTCCCCTAATAGGTTAATCTGAGGTCTGTTATTGTTCTACAGCCGATGAGAATACATCTAAACCAGTTGGAGCTGATGCCCCATATGTAATTAAAGTGGTAAGACAACTCTGGCTTGATAATACATGCCTTTGTATATGATTGCGTGATTGTCCTCAGTTCCATCTCATGCCTATACAAGCAAGACAAAGGAGACATTTAACGTCCTTAGTATGCCTGTACAGTTAATGACAATATACTCAACATGTTCAATCTGACTGCCCTGCATGACTCCAGGCCTACCTATGCTGAATTTACAGTGGGGAAAAAAAGTATTTAGTCAGCCACCAATTGTGCAAGTTCTCCCACTTAAAATGGGATGGGAGAACTTGGGAAAGATGGGAAAAGGGGATGGGAGAGGCCTGTAATTTTCATCATGGGTACACGTCAACTATGACAGACAAAATGAGAGAGAAAAAAATCCAGAAAATCACATTGTAGGATTTTTTATGAATTTATTTGCAAATTATGGTGGAAAATAAGTATTTTGTCAATAACAAACGTTTCTCAATACTTTGTTATATACCCTTTGTTGGCAATGACACAGGTCAAATGTTTTCTCTAAGTCTTCACAAGGTTTTCACACACTGTTGCTGGTATTTTGGCCCATTCCTCCATGCAGATCTCCTCTAGAGCAGTGATGTTTTGGGGCTGTCGCTGGGCAACACGGACTTTCAACTCCCTCCAAAGATTTTCTATGGGGTTGAGATCTGGAGACTGGCTAGGCCACTCCAGGACCTTGAAATGCTTCTTACGAAGCCACTCCTTCGTTGCCCGGGTGGTGTGTTTGGGATCATTGTCATGCTGAAAGACCCAGCCACGTTTAATCTTCAATGCCCTTGCTGATGGAAGGAGGTTTTCACTCAAAATCTCACGATACATGGCCCCATTCATTCTTTCCTTTACATGGATCAGTTGTCCTGGTCCCTTTGCAGAAAAACAGCCCCAAAGCATGATGTTTCCACCCCCATGCTTCACAGTATGTATGGTGTTCTTTGGATGCAACTCAGCATTCTTTGTCCTCCAAACACGATGAGTTGAGTTTTTACCAAAAAGTTCTATTTTGGTTTCATCTGACCTTATGACATTCTCCCAATCCTCTTCTGGATAATCCAAATGCACTCTAGCAAACTTCAGACGGGCCTGGACATGTACTGGCTTAAGCAGGGGGACACGTCTGGCACTGCAGGATTTGAGTCCCTGGCGGCGTAGTGTGTTACTGATGGTAGGCTTTGTTACTTTGGTCCCAGCTCTCTGCAGGTCATTCACTAGGTCCCCCCGTGTGGTTCTGGGATTTTTGCTCACCGTTCTTGTGATCGTTTTGACCCCACGGGGTGAGATCTTGCGTGGAGCCGCAGATCGAGGGAGATTGTCAGTAGTCTTGTATGTCTTCCATTTCCTAATAATTGCTCCCACAGTTGATTTCTTCAAACCAAGCTGCTTACCTATTGCAGATTCAGTCTTCCCAGCCTGGTGCAGGTCTACAATTTTGTTTCTGGTGTCCTTTGACAGCTCTTTGGTCTTGGCCGTAGTGGAGTTTGGAGTGTGACTGTTTGAGGTTGTGGACAGGTGTCTTTTATACTGATAACAAGTTCAAACAGGTGCCATTAATACAGGTAACGAGTGGAGGACAGAGGAGCCTCTTAAAGAAGAAGTTACAGGTCTGTGAGAGCCAGAAATCTTGCTTGTTTGTAGGTGACCAAACACTTATTTTCCACCATAATTTGCAAATAAATTCATTAAAAATCCTACAGTGTGATTTTTTGGATTTTTTTCTCTCAATTTGTCTGTCATAGTTGACGTGTACCTATGCTGAAAATTACAGGCCTCTCTCATCTTTTTAAGTGGGAGAACTTGCACAATTGGTGGCTGACTAAATACTTTTTTCCCCCACTGTTTAGTGTTTCCAGAGTATAACTGTGCTCCTTATAATGTAATCTAAACTGACCCTAATGGGATGAATAAAGCTGTACTGTTTGGTCAACTGTCCTCTCTTTTTTTCTTCATCAAGGAGCCCAGTGACAACGGACCACTGTTCTCAGAGCTCAAGTTCTACATGCGAGCTGCCAAGCCGGATCTAAGTATGTATACCAGACACCACTCCCTCCCTCATGAACACACACACAGTCTCTCAACACTGGAACAAACAAATACGCGTAAAGAAATGAGCAACTTTCTTAATTAAAGAAGTGTAGTTGTAGGGCTATTTAGTGAGGGCCTCTGTTTCCAACACGGTGCCTTTGGTGCTCCTGTGTTCGCCCCAAGGCCACAACTTTGCATTTTATATCATAACAATCCAAATGTCAATCTCCCCTGACAATTAACTGTTGTATTGCTAAGGAATGAACACTCATATTTTATTCATTGGAATATGGCGTTGTCTGTTGGTAAATATTTGTCCCAGTAGGAGAGTAGTTTACAGCCGGCACTGGTTTGGCCCGCGTGGAATTACCCTGCTCTTATTACTTTGAGCACCAATACCACCAAGTTTTATTAGCTAGCTACTTGTCATTAGGCCTTGAAAATGGATGCACTCACTAACTGGAAGTCGCTCTGGATAAGAGCGTCTGCTAAATGACTAAAAATGTAAAATGTTATGAAGTGTGTTTAGAATCATTTGCCTTATTTTAACTTTTGAATGGCAGTCGTCTTAGTTTAACCCTTTACAAGTGAACTGCCTTTTAGCGTGTTGTATCGTGAAATATGTTTTAGGCAAGTATTTTGCCATTTTTCATATCTAGTATTGTTTATATAGTTGTGCTACTCATTATTCCATAAAGATTATTGTTTTATATTGTATTTTAGTTCAGAGTTGGATGACGTCTCGCAAGCTGAAGTATTTGGGAGTTCCGAAGTACTGGGGGTCTGGACTACATGAGAAAGGAGGAAAAAGGTATTGAGTAGTTAAGCAATAATACATGAGAGGCTATGACATTTTTATCATGGCTTTGACATGGTCATAGCCACAAGGTGAAGCCGATTGGCATAGACCACCACAGCCATTAGAAAAATGTCATAATACATGGCCTCTCATGTATTATTGCTTTTATACGTTTATACGGTTACCAGCATTAAAAAGCTAGATTAATTCCCAAACCATACCGTTTTGGAACTCTATCACTTTTTTTCTCTCCACAAAAGACATTGGCATCTGGTTACTAAGCAACCATTTTTTGTTTGTCCAGACACAACCAGTCTGTCAAAAGTAGCTGGCTCATGTCCAAATTCTCAAACTAAATGCATACTTCAATTGGCAATGTTTGTTGTCTAGTATATCAAGGGCAGGATCTAAGGCTGGAGTTACATGAAGAAACTTTCATTCAATTTTAGTGGCAGGTTGCAAGTGACATCTCAAGCAACTTTGCTGTGACGTGAAGCAATTCGAAACACAATTAAAATTGCATGCAACAGCCAATCAAATTGAAGCTGCTTCGTCATATTGTTTGAGAATTCAAAACTCACCCGATGTCATATGCAGCTTTACATGTGGTTTCACAAATTATTTGTTTATCCAACCGTTTGGTTATTGTAACAGCATGGATATAGACACAATGCAGCCTGTACAAATTAGCTGGCTAGCCAAATTTACATTACAAAGCTAGCTAGCAACGAAATAACCAAGCTAGCAATGACTTAAGCTACCTAGCTAGCTAGCACAGTTCATGGTGGACAATTTCAGTTGAAACTGGTCAAGGAAAGGTTCACTTTGAAAATGAAATTTCTTGACTGCCAAACGATGTACATAACAATCTCCCATTGTCCTAATGTCTCTTCTTTCAACCTTGATCGCTGGTTGCGCAGCACTGACCGCTGTGTTATTGACATGACAACTGGGTCAGAATGGATCATCTGACAAAGTATTTGTTTTGATTGGCTGTAGCTTGCAAGTAGTTGCACAAAGTTGAAAAGTTTCAACTGGATGCAACCAAGTTGCAGATGAGTTGCTTATTAGTTGCAGGGGGGTGTTTCACGAAGCAATCAAGAAGCAACTCAGTTGCAAGCAACCAAAGTTGTGTGAAAGTTGCTTTGTCTAACTCCAGCCTAACAATGGGAATTCCAAACCACCTGTTGTATAATGCCTCTTTTTAAATCTGGTTCTTCCAGTACCTTGACAGCAATCTCTTTTGATATGTCAGCCATATAAATACCTGTGGACCAGTTTGGCACTGGCATATTTGACACACCCATAAAGTTAAGCGGTTGTGCATGTCAAACCAATGCCTTACTCCTCCAGCTACAAGCTGATTGATTAACATAAACAGTATGTTATTGAGGTGTGTCGAAAATGGCACCCTATTCCCTTTATAGTGCACTACTGTTGACCGGATGCCATATGGCCCTGGTCAAAAGTAGTGCACTATATAGGGTGCAATGGGCCCTGGTCAAAAGTAGTGCACTATATAAGGAATAGGGTGTCATTTGGAATGCACCCTGAATCTCTGATTCCCTCTGGTTTCTCCCTTCCAGGTACAGGTTCATGGTGATGGACCGGTTTGGGGCGGACCTTCAGAAGAAGTTTGAGGAGACTGGAAGGAGGTTCCCCCGAAAACTGGTCCTGCAGCTCGGGCTGAGACTCGTGAGTTTGGTCGTCATACAACTGCCGATAGTAGAGCCAAGAAAAAGAACTAACTAAAACATTGATATATTTAATTGACGCTATGAAACATCTTGGCTGTTTATTTAATTTACTTTATCTTTACATTTGTCATTTATCCAGAGTGACTTAGTTAGTGCATTCATCTTAAGATAGCTAGGTGGGACTAGGGCTGTTACGGTGACTGTATTACCGCCACACCGGCGGTCACGAGTCATGACCGCAGTCAAATTTCACGCGACCGTTTAGTCATGGTAATTAGGCTTCGCCAAGCTCTGATGCTGCTGATGGTCATTAGTAGTCTACCAAACTTGCTAACTGCCTGGTACTCAACACTATTGTCCCTCTAATCACTCTGACATCAATGCAAATTGAATCGAAAATCAAATCAAACACTTCATGAGAGCCCATGAGCTTATGTTGCACAACATTTCTATAGGCTATGCAATTGCGTGAGAAAGAGTGATGGCCTCTATTAAAAAGAGAAGGATCCCATCAGCTTTCTATAGGCTAGGCCTAGTATATTTATTTCTCAACTTTCCTACCTGGCTGGCATGAAAATGAACCACGGGAAAAGCGCCCTCCATTCACTATTTAAGTGCATAGATTACATGTATTTTTCCCGCTACCCCTGTTTTGAGACAGGTGCATGATAATGATCCATTCTAAATCAAAACAAATTTCACACTTAGAGTATTTAGTATATGTATAGAAAAGATTAAATCAAGAATAGTGTGATGGGTGACAATATTAGCCTATCACTTGTGAATTATATATTATCACTTGTGAATGATGCCCAGATTAAGGCAAGAAACAGTGCATGCTTTTTTTTGCGTGACTTTTTCAAATCATAGTCGCACACCTCGTAGCCTGGCCTATATGTTTTGATAAGATTTTTTGTATCACAACTAAAGTGGCCAAATAACTTCTTTAAATGAAGCACAGTAATCTGCTTTACAACAGGTAGAGAGCCTAACTGGCATACATACGCAGCGCGTAAGTTTCAAGTTTGGGGAAGATAATTTTCACCATAAAAAAGGCACCTTTATAAAAAAGCATTACATGCCTAAATGCATTTGTGGTCACTTTTGATAATGGTGTTTTCCGCTAATGGAACATTCATGCTTATAGCCTACTGCCGTGTGCGCATTGCTGCGCTTATAATGTGAAGAAATAGCCTAATAGTTTATCAACATTTTAAGCTAAACATTCTCATCTGTTGCGTCAGGCTCATTGCTTAAAACAGGTTTTTTGATGCTAGTGGTTGTATTAATTTGGGATCTATCGCATCCCACAACAGTCCCAGCCTATGTTTGGAATATTTATTTCTCGCACAGAATAGAATATATCAACTTTTGTGCTATGGGGGATAGTAGATTTACATAGGCTAGTGCTTTTGTTGTTCGTTAGGCCAACTCATCTCGTGGGCTAACAAAAAGTAAATGTGGACAGTTCTTCCAATATCTTCAATATGCGCCTTGGAATTGGATAAGGACGCGCGCAGTTGCGTCCCTGATGTCTGTCTTCACTTTTAGCCTGTGAGAAAGACCCGACCGCGTGATATATTCAGCCCAAGGGCACAACGACCACTGGCCGCAAAAGGCAAGGATTTTTTTCCGGGGTCATTACGGCCACACAAAGGAGATGCAGCTGAGAATTTTGAGGCATTATCAAGTGCTTGTCAAATAGTGAATGAGAGACTGATGAAGTGTGTACAACCTGCGCAAAAAACAAAGCAGAGCTCATGCCTTTCATGCGACTTTTTTCAAATCATCATTAGTCGCATCATGCAGCCTTCGAATGTATTAAAAATCAAAACATATAGCCCAACATTTGTATCACAACCTAAAGTTACATAAATAACTAAATTAAGCATATAGGAGTACCTGTTTCTTTGTCAACAGCTCAACACAGAATAGCCGCATGTTTGGAGACAATATCCTTTCTATTTTATTCAGCTATGTTCAATTGTATTCTTCATACTATAAAATAACGCCTTGGAATTCTAAGCAAATCTCATCTGCTAAATGAACTAGTGTATCCCAACTCCGAGTATGACAACTCCGAGTATGCTATTCTGTTTTTCTGAAATAGACTACATTTTCTTCATATCATGTTTCTTTAGACCTGTCTAAAATAAATAATGGATTTATTGTGATGGTGTAGGCTATATTACATGGATTTGTTACTTTATTTAAATGTAGATATTCCAAAGGTCTGCATCAGTGGCTTGTAGGCTATGGTAAATGTGTTTATGTTAATTAACGGTCAATTACCGTGAGACCGGCAGTTATTTGCTTGACAATCACCGGCTGACAAAATGTCATGACCGCCACAGCCCTAGGTGGGACAACCACATATCTCAGTCATAGTAAGTCAATTTTTCCTTAATAAAGTAGCTATCCGCAAAGTTAGTGCTAGTACGTACATACCCCAACCAGAAGCCATGGATTACAGGCAACGTCCGCACTGAGCTAACGGGTAGAGCTGCTGCTTTCAAGGAGTGGGACTCTAACCTGGAAGCATATAAGAAATCCCACTATGCTCTCAGACGAAACATCAAACAGGCAAAGTGTCAATACATGACTAAGAACGAATCGTACTACACCGGCTCCGACGCTCGTCGGATGTGGCAGGGCTTGCAAACTATTACAGACTAAAAAGGCAGGCACAGCCGCGAGCTGCCCAGTGACACGAGTCTACCAGACGAGCTAAATTACTTCTATCCTCGCTTCGAGGCAAGTAACACTGAAACATGCATGAGAGCATCAGCTGTTCCGGACGACTGTGTGATCACGCTCTCCGTAGCCGATGTGAGTAAGACCTTTAAACAGGTCAACATTCACAAGGCCGCAGGGCCAGACGGATTACCAGGACGTGTACTCCAAGCATGCGCTGACCAACTGGCAAGTGTCTTCACTGACATTTTCAACCCCTCCCTGTCTGAGTCTGTAATACCAACATGTTTCAAGCAGACCACCATAGTCCCTGTGCCCAAGAACACTAAGGTAACCTGCCTAAATGACTACCGGCCCGTAGCACTCACGTCTGTAGCCATGAAGTGCTTTGAAAGGCTGGTCATGGCTCACATCAACACCATTATCCCAGAAACCCTAGACCCACTCCAATTTGCATACCACCCCAACAGATCCACAGATGATGCAATCTCTATTGCACTCCACACTGCCATTTCACACCTGGACAAAATGAACACCTATGTGAGAATGCTATTCATTGACTACAGCTCAGCGTTCAACACCATAGTACCCTCAAAGCTCATCACCAAGCTAAGGACCCTGGGACTAAACACCTCCCTCTGCAACTGGATCCTGGACTTCCTGACCGGCCGCCCCCCAGGTGTTAAGGGTAGGTAACAACACACGCTGATCCTCAACACGGGGGCCCCTCAGGGGTTTGTGCTCAGTCCCCTCCTGTACTCCCTGTTCAATCATGACTGCATGGCCAAGCACGACTCCAACACCATCATTAAGTTTGCCAATGACACAACAGTGGTAGGCCTGATCACCGACAACGATGAGACAGCTTATAGGGAGGAAGTCAGAGACCTGGCCGTGTGGTGCCAGGACAACAACCTCTCCCTCAACGTGATCAAGACAAAGGAGATGATTGTGGACTACAGGAAAAAGAAGAGGACCGAGCACGCCCCCATTCTCATCAACGGGGCTGTAGTGGAACAGGTTGAGAGCTTCAAGTTCCTTGGTGTCCACATCACCAACAAACTAACATGGTCCAAGCACATCAAGACAGTCGTGAAGAGGGCACGACAAAACCTATTCCTCCTCGGGAGACTGAAAATATTTGGCATGGGTCCTCAGATCCTCAAAAGGTTCTACAGCTGCACCATCGAGAGCATCTTGACTGGTTGCATCACTGCCTGGTATGGCAACTGCTCGGCCTCCGACCGCAAGGCACTACAGAGGGTAGTGCGTACAACCCAGTACATCACTGGGGCCAAGCTTCCTGCCATCCAGGACCTCTATACCAGGCGGTGTCAGAGGAAGGCCCTAAAAATTGTCAAAGACTCCAGCCACCCTAGTCATAGACTGTTCTCTCTTCTACCGCACGGTAAGCGGGGACCGGAGCGCCAAGTCTAGGTCCAAGAGGCTTCTAAACAGCTTCTACCCCAAGCCATAAGACTGCTGAACATCTAATCAAATGGCTACCCAGAATATTTGCATTGGAGCGAGGCACTGCTTTGATGTTTGCAGAGAACGAACGGGTGCTGTCCAGGTTCACGCCAAGGTTATTTGCACTCTGGGAGTGGGACACTGTGGAGTTGTAAACCATGATGGAGAGGTTTTGGAGCGGGCAGGCCTTCCCTGGGAAGAAGAGCAGCTCCGCGTTGTTGAGCTTGAGGTGTTGGGCCGACATCCAAGCTGAGATATCTGCCAGGCACGCAGATATCTTTAGTGTTCAACATATTGTTTGCCTCTGTATTATCTCAGTAAATAATGTGTTTGATATTTATGTTGCCCTTTGTTCTCCCCTCTCTTGTGTAGCTTGACATTCTGGAGTACATCCATGAGCATGAGTATGTTCACGCTGACATCAAAGCCTCCAACCTCCTCCTCAGCCACAACAACCCCAATCAGGTCAGTGGCTGTCTTTTCTGTAGATATAGGCCTAGAGTTGTTGTATTATCTATGGTCCTTACCTGCCTGTCATTCACTCTGCATTGACCGGGCACATAGGCCTACAGGTGCACATTTTTGGTCTAGCCCAGTATTTACACACCCGATTCAGCTAATTCTTAAGCCATGGCTTGATGATAAGTTTAGTTGAATCAGGTGAGTTAGAACCCCAGAAATTTAGCTTTTTGTCCTGAAATGGCTGGCATCAATGCTATGCTAATCAGGTTAGAACTAACCATGTCAGGGCTATATGGCTAGCTAGCTATGTGCTTTGTATGTGTGTAGCAGTGGAGGCTGCTGAGGGGAGAACAGCTCATAATAATGGCCAGAATGAAGTGAATGGAATGGTATCAAACACATGGTTTTGATATGTACCATGTAGCTCAGTTTGTAGAGCATGGCGCTTGCAACGCCAGGGTTGTGGGTTCGTTTCCCACGGGGGGCCAGTATGAAAATGTATGCACTAACTGTAATTCGCTCTAGATAGGAGCGTCTGCTAAAATGACTAAAATGTAAAAAAAAATATTTGATACCATTCCATATACTCCGTTCCAGACATTATTATGAGCCGTCCTCCCCTCAGCAGCCTCCACTGGTGTGTAGTGACTAGCAATGCTACCGTACCTGTAGACTTCCAGGCAATGCTAATTTGCATTGGCTCGCGAAACTACTGCTAACTTCCTTTATACTGCATGCAGAGACATATAAATGCCAGAATCTAGCAGTATCCCTTTAAAAGGGAGAGGCCTATTTCCCAGTCTGTGTAGGATCTCAAATGGTTGTCTCTACCTCTTGAGTTGAAGTAATGCCTTTGACCTGATATGTAAATTGAACAAACATTGGATATATTTATTTATTTGATTATGCTGCTGCCGCTGGTTCATTAGATTCAATTCAACATTAGAGACAGAAAAGAGGGGGGGGGGGGGGGGGGGGGGTTCTTCATTCTTCTCTAAACAGGGCAGAGATTAGATGGTGGCTAAGAGCTCTTTCAAGCAAACAAGGTGGGGGCAGGGGCAAATATGTAATTTAGAGATTAATAATGTTTCCGTGGTGTGTTATTAAAGTGCTATTTTTTAATTACAATTTAGAAAGTGACCCCTTGGGAGTCTCAGGGTTAGCTCTCTCTCTCTATCTGCCTGCTCCCTGCCTGCATTTATTGGAAACATTTATTAGACTTTCTGGGAGCTGAGGATTTGAGCAGGGAGGGAGGGAGCTGTAGTTTACTGTAACTATGCTTTGTAAAGTATGCGTTATTGTTATAGTCCAGACGATATGTGGAAAAACATGTTTTCATAAAAGCATGAAACTTGGTACACATGTACAGTTTATTAGTAGTAATTTAGTTACAGGCCACATCATGTTAAGTATACTCACTCATTTGGTTGGCTGTGTGTCAGTGTGTGCATGCATGAATTTGTCTGTTTTGTTTGCAAACCTCTAGGTTTACTTAGTAGATTATGGGCTGGCCTATAGGTACTCTCCCGAAGGAGTGCTGAAGGAGTACAAAGAAGACCCTAAGAGGTGCCACGACGGGACCATCGAGTTCACCTCCATCGATGCACACAAAGGAGTCTGTAAGTACAGCACACCTCTCATTGAGCCAAGCTAGGGGTACGTTCAGTTGGGAGTAAATGGAAGAAACCCTTCTGTTTTTCAAAATAAAAAGGTAACCTGATTAGGGCGGTCACCCACAGTGCTCAGAATGACAGAAATCACATTTAGATTATGGTAATTCATCTTAACAGAACATGCAAGTCGAGGATGCAATGATGTGTGTCGTTACCGCACACTTTGAAGATGTTAGAATAACTGTCCACATTTACTTTTCCTCAACCAAGACGAGTAACTAACAGCCTATGCGTAGGCGGAGCGTGATTTTAAAGTTTGGGGAAGCATATTTTCACAATAAAAATGCACCTTTATAATAAAGCATTCCATGCATCATCGCATTTGTAGACTTATATAAGATAACCTACTATTCCTAATGTGATGAGTAGATTGGATATTCATAATTTAGGCTAATAATATAACTCAATCACTGTTTGCATGGCTCAGCGTATAATGTAAAGGCCTGTGCTTTAGGCTATATTAGATATGTTTCTTCTTTCTTTGCATGGGGAAAACACATTTCATACAATTCTACTACACTTTATATGACTGGAGACATTGGTAGAATCTTTTTTAATACAACAAATTACAGGGTAGCCTACTCTGCTGACACGGACAAACAGATCAATAAAATCAACGTTGTCCATATAATAGGCCTACGAGAACGGGAGACACAAATAGAATATGACGTCCATATAAACTGGAGGAGGAAATTATTGTCCAAAAACAAACTTATGTGGCACTGACCCGACTGATAAAGAGTGAGTATGCGCAGTGCGCACTCACCGGGCATATGGCCGATGCTCTCCGCTGGTGCCAGTAAGATAGACTACAGGGTTACTCTTGTTCGCTCAATTAAGTTGAGTATTTTGATAAGTATAAAAGCCAGATTAGTCTTTTCATTGTCGTCTCTTTACAGCAATAGCCATTTGCTTTCCAAACTATGTTTCGTGAGATTTAATTTTGATATGTTGCGATATGCCTGGCTGGGCCTCTGCTTTTCACTGACAGTCACAACTCAACCTCCATCTATTTGGTATTTGCAGCACCCGCTGCCCAAATTGCGTGCATTGCCTTTCCTTCTGACTGTAGGCAATGCGATTTAAAACGATCCACAACTTACATTTTTTAAGACTAGGGGAAGCTAATGATCGTCTGTGGCCAAATCATGCTTTATTAGCCTATTGTGAATGTGATTTATTTATGTATAGGCAGGAGTAGGATAATTAGGCTATATCATTTTGCCACTTTCATTCAATTTACTTAGGGAAAGCTTCCCCTAGCCTTATGGACGCTCTGCCAATGAGTCTATGTCAATCTACTATCCCCCATAGTAGAAAAGTTGACCTATTCTATTGGTCAGCTTGTCGAGAAAGAAATCGCCAAAACAGACTCTGGGACAGTTGTGGGACAATAGATCCCAAATTCATACAACCAGTAGGCCTAGGCTACATTAAAAAAACAACAACATAAAAAGCAATGAATCAACAGATCAGAACGTTTAGCTTAAAATGTTAACATTAGGCTATTAGCACAGCAATGTGAATAAGGTCGTAGGCTACGTGTGAATGTTCATTTGGCTACCGGACAATGAAAGAAAGTTGGAAACCAATAGAACATGAGGGAAATAGGCTACTGGTTTCAATGGCATATGGAAGTCTTTAAAAAATAATTGCCTCCACGGATATGGTTGGATTTAGCATAGGCTACTTTGAAACAAGGCAAAACATGCCTCATAATATTTAGTAAAACGTTCAGGTTTCAAACAATTAATTAGCTATATGTTTTCAAAATGCATACTGCCTCCAGCTCATTGCAGAGTGGTGCATGGCGTGCTGATGAAGCCTGCCTTTCTTTGCCTATGCATTTGAATGGCGAATGGGAAGGCCGCTACAATTACCAGGTGAGAAATGGAAAAAAGTAGCTTTTAGAATTGCATTTAGAATTGTTGTGCAATGATTGGGCTTATAAAAGCCCTGTCTGACAGATTTTCCACTCAAAGGCTCTGTATCTGTATGCTGTAAGTGTGTGATAAATAAGATGCAGAAAGAATATACACGCGCTAGTTTAATTCCACAAAATTATCAAAATTAAGCCATATACCGATAAGCATGGCCAGTCAAATGTATTTACATCAATTAATAAGTTAAAAAGTATTATTTCACAATGGGATTTTTTTTCTTTCTCCTGGACAATTGGCCGGTGCCAATTTATTTATGGACTTTAAAAATGCTATTACCGGCTAACGAAAACCCTGCCGCCAATGTATCAGTAGGATCTCAAAATGTATCTGTTGATCAGTTCAGTTGTGAAAGTAATGGTAACAAAACTCACTGTGGCAATGAACAGTTCAAAGCAGTGGGTAACCGTCCCTATCGCCTCGGGTGACCACAACATTGGCTGTCATTTTAATTTCCTGCCGATTCTACATGTTTAATGGCCGGTGTTGGTTGACACCCAGCAGGTGAGCGCTACAACTGAATGGAGGAGTTGTAGCGCCCCCAGTCCCTCATCCCCCTCTCCCTGTAATTCTCTGCACTATGATGAAGTCAGTTCTCCATAATTCTTTGTCCGATGTATGTGCTTCTTGATTTTTAACCACTGTTAACCGGTATCTAACTCAGGTAAACTACTGTCATCAATACTCACAGGATTATCTCTAAAGAGTACCGTTGTGTTGTTGGCTTGCTGATCATATGTTGTACGTTTTATATCATTTTGTCTTTTCAGATTTCACGTCCTTTTGTCCTAAATGTTGACAGAATGATGTTATTTTTATCCAAGTTATTATACTCATACAGTGCAGGTTAAGTCATTTTACAATTGTGGTTCTCTAATTATTTTGCTGCCAAATTGTCTCCTTAAAACCTGTGTCCTTGCAGTGTTACTTGTACATGGGGCGGCAGGTAGCTTAGTGGCTAAGAGCGTTGTGCCAGTAACCGAAAGGTCGCTGGTTCTAATCCCTGAGCCGACTAGCTGAAAAATCTGTCTGTGCCATTGAGCAAGGCACTTAACCCTAATTGCTCCTGTAAGTCGCTCTGGATAAGAGCGTCTGCTAAATGACTAAAATGTAAATGTAAATGTAAACACACCGCAGCCAACTGCTGCTTTAAACCCTTCATCTGCACGGTGTTGTCGTCTGTCTGCAGCTCCCTGTAGAAGGAGTGATCTGGAGATCCTAGGGTACTGTATGGTGCAGTGGCTCTGTACTAAACTGCCCTGGGAAGACAAGCTGCAGGACCCCGTCTATGTCAGAGACGCAAAACTACAGTAAGATGTCACACACACACACCTGCGTGCGCATAACACACACAATAAACACACACACACACACAAAGGTTTTTGAGTTGAGATCCTAACTTTGTCATTCACAGATGCAGGGATAACGTGTCAGAATTCATGTCCAAGTGTTTCCCCTCACAAGACAAGCCAGGTGAGAGAGACACAAATGCTACATTTCTTTGAATTAAGTTTTCTACTTTGAATAGGCCTTGTATGTTGAGCACACGTCTATTCGTCTTCGTGTGGATGTTGTCAATTTTGCAGTGGAGATTTGAGGAGCTGTTAGGCCAGTGGCGTTCTAGTTACGCCATTAGCACTAGCTGCTGCTTCACTGACAAACTGGTGCACACGCACACGCACACGCACTATGTGGTCCTTGAGAACCTGGGTTGTTGTTCTCAGCACATGACATCCCCTGCTCCGTTCCCAGCCCTAATTGAACTGAAGCGCATCCACACACGCAGCAGAGAGGAGTGGCTGTTCTCTCCATAATAAGGGTCCCTGTTGATCTCCTCATAATGAGTGCTAATTCATTAGCCCCACCGCTAATTCTCTGACCGCAACAAAACTTTCCACTTTAACTTTGTTGTGAACTAAGGTGTGATGGGTGCATTCGTGTGAAGCATAGGTTAGAGGCAATACAGAGGAGGGCAAGAGTGTTCGCTAAAGTTTGCTAGCCTTTTGGTGTGACAACACTTCAGATATTTTGTAGACCTATATGAACTCTTAGTTTTCTTTGTTGAAAGATTTGTGGGCCATTCAAATGGTATTGAGGCCTGCAGATTTGACTTCACTCTAAAAACCGTTAACTTTACAATATGGACTAGGGGGCCTTCAATCTGAAGGAGGAACAGTAAAAAAAAAAACGTTGACTTGGACAGTTTAACAAGCCATTTAATTGCTTCGTCTCCACCTCTCCTCTGATCCCTCTGTGGCAGTGCCCGCTCTGTGGCCGCCGTGTGACAGAAGGAGAGATTTCTCCGCGGGCTGTTGTCTTGTGGTACAGCCCCACGCTACGCATCTCAACAGCCCAGAGATAGAGGAGACGGGAGTGGAGCCGCCGTGGTTCTGTTGTGTCCAACATCATCACTAATTCTGTTTGGTGTGACTTATTTTAGCTAGCGCCCAGACTGTAAACAACAGTTTGGGAGAGACGGAGCAGAAGGAACGGGGACTGACGCACCGTGCCCCTTCCTTTCCTCTCGCTCTTCCCCCTTTTCTTCTCACTCACTCACTCACTCACACACACACACAAATCCGTAAACATGGGTACCCTCATAGATATCATCCTGACTAACATACCCTCTAAATACACCTCAGCTGTCTTCAACCAGGATCTCAGCGATCACTGCCTTATTGCCTGCGTCCGTAACGGGTCCGCGGTCAAACGACCACCCCTCATCACTGTCAAACGCTCCCTAAAACACTTTAGCGAGCAGGCCTTCCTAATTGACCTGGCCCAGGTATCCTGGATGGATATAGATCTCATTCCGTCAGTAGAGGATGCCTGGTTGTTCCTTAAAAGTAATTTCCTCTCAATCTTAAATAAACATGCCCCATTCAAAAAATACAGAACTAAGAACCGATATAGCCCCTGGTTCTCCTCAGACTTGACTGCCCTTGACCAGCACAAAAACATCCTGTGGCGTACTGCATTAGCATCAAATAGCCCCCGCGATATGCAACTTTTCAGGGAAGTTAGGAACCAATATACACAAGCAGTCAGGAAAGCAAAGGCAAACTTTTTCAAACAGAAATTTGCATCCTGTAGCACTAACTCCAAAAAGTTTTGGGACACTGTAAAGTCCATGGAGAATAAGAGCACTTCCTCCCAGTTGCCCACTGCACTGAGGCTAGGAAACACTATCACCACCGATAAATCTACAATAATCGAGAATTTCAACAAGCATTTTGCTACAGCTGGCCATGCTTTCCATCTGGCTACCACTACCCCGGCCACCAACTCTGCACCCTCCGCTGAAACTTGCCCATGCCCCCCCCCGCTTCTCCTTCACACAAATTCAGACAGCTGACGTTTTGAAAGAGCTGCAAAATCTGGACCCCTACAAATCAGCTGGGCTAGACAATCTGGACCTCTCTTTCATAACGTCTGAGATCCCCAGAGATTGGAAAGCTGCCGCGGTCATCCCCCTCTTCAAAGGGGGTGACACTCTAGATCCAAACTGCTACAGACCTATATCCATCCTGCCCTGCCTTTCGAAAGTATTTGAAAGCCAAGTTAACAAACAGATCACCGACCATTTCGAATACCACCGTACCTTCTCCGCTATGCAATCCGGTTTCCGAGCTGGTCATGGGTGCACTTCAGCCACGCTCAAGGTCCTTAACGATATTATAACCGCGATTGATAATAGACAGTACTGTGCAGCCGTCTTCATCGACCTGGCCAAGGCTTTCGACTCTGTCAACCACCGCATTCTTATTGGCAGACTAAATAGCCTTGGTTTCTCAAATGACTGCCTCGCCTGGTTCACCAACTACTTCTCAGATAGAGTTCAGTGTGTCAAATCGGAGGGCCTGTTGTCTGGACCTATGGCAGTCTCTATGGGGGTGCCACAGGGTTCAATTCTTGGGCCGACACTTTTCTCCGTGTATATCAATGATGTCACTCTTGCTGCTGGTGACTCTCAGATCCACCTCTACGCAGACGACACCATTTTGTATACATCTGGCCCTTCATTGGACACTGTGTTAACAAACCTCCAAACGAGCTTCAATGCCATACAACACTCCTTCAGTAGCCTCCAACTGCTCTTAAACACTAGTAAAACTAAATGCATGCTTTTCAATCGAACGCTGCTGGCACCCGCCCACCCGACTAGAATCACCACTCTTGACGGGTCTGACCTAGAGTATGTGGACAACTACAAATACCTAGGTGTCTGGTTAGACTGTAAACTCTCCTTCCAGACTCACATAAAGAATCTCCAATCCAAAGTTAAATCTAGAATCGGCTTCCTATTTCGCAACAAAGCCTCCTTCACTCATGCTGCCAAACATGCCCTCGTAAAACTGACTATCCTACCGATCCTTGACTTCGGCGATGTCATTTACAAAATAGCCTCCAACACTCTACTCAGCAAATTGGATGTAGTCTATCACAGTGCCATCCGTTTTGTCTCCAAAGCCCCATACGCTACCCACCACTGTGACCTGTACGCTCTTGTTGGCTGGTCCTCACTACATGTTCGTCGTCAAACCCACTGGCTCCAGGCCATCTATAAATCACTGCTAGGCAAATCCTCGCCGTATCTTAGCTCATTGGTCACCATAGCAGCACCCACCCGTAGCCTGCGCTCCAGCAGGTATATCTCACTGGTCATTCCCAAAGCCAACACCTCCTTTGGCCGCCATTCCTTCCAGTTCTCTGCTGCCAATGACTGGAACGAATTGCAAAAATCTCTGAAGCTGGAGACTCTTATCTCCCTCACTAACTTTAAGCATCAGTTGTCAGAGCACCTTACCGATCACTGCACCTGTACACAGCCCATCTGAAATTAGCCCACCCAACTACCTCATCCCTATATTGTTATTTATTTTGCTCTTTTGCACCCCAGTATCTCTATTTTCACACAATCTCTTGCACATCTAGCATTCCAGTGTTAATACTATTGTAATTATTTTGCACTATAGCCTATTTATTGCCTTACCTCCATAACTTGCTACATTTGCACACACTGTATATATATTTTCTGTTGTATTTTTGACTTTATGTTTTTTTACCCCATATGTAACTCTGTTGTTTTTATCGCACTGCTTTGCTTTATCTTGGCCAGGTCGCAGTTGTAAATGAGAACTTGTTCTCAACTGGCTTACCTGGTTAAATAAAGGTGAAATAAATAAAAAACACACACACACACACACAACGTAGCCCCAAGGTCAAAGAGGCAGTGCCGGCTGTGTAAAGAGAGACAGGAGTGGAACAGGATGGAAATGTGGTAACAGCTAGATAACAAACTTTCCAATCCGTGTGTAGTTTATGGTCAGTGAGGGTTGAGAATCTTCACTAGTTGAATTGGTTTAATTTCTCTGTATTGGATGTTTGTGATTTTATCACAATGTTGTTGGAGCAGATGGGGAAACAGGTTGAAATGCATATGTATGCTCATTGCCTCATACTATCGTGTACTATATTGAACAGGAGAATCTCAACCACTCTGCAACTAGCTAGCTAGCTACCTTTAATTGTGGATAGGACTCACTTAAAAAGTATTTTTTACATTTAAATGTAACCCTTCCAGTTCTATTTATGTGTTATGATGCTGGGTGTCAAGTAAAGTCTTACCCTTTTTTGGGTAAGCACCGCAGCTCATATACAACTTTATCTTAATTTTTGCTTGGTGCTGGGACTCGACCTAAAATGTAAATCCAAAATATAAATCCACTCTCTTATTTTATTTGTCATGTTTTAGATGAACTTCAGAAGTTCATGGAGGAGGTGAAGACTCTAAGCTACACAGACAAACCGGCCTATCAGAAGCTCCGGTCCATTCTGGAGGTGGGGCTTAAGTCAATTGGCACCAAAGATGACGACAAGCTGGAGTTCTCCTCAGCGGTCAACAGCAACGGAGCCGGGCCATCGTCCTCTCCCAAGGTCGGTACATGCACGCACGCACGCAAAGACAGACGCACACAAAGACTGACACAACCACACACACATACAAATGTGTTGCTGTGAGATCATTGTAGCCTCTGCATTTAAAACCTGGCACGCTCCAGACCTTTTTAAAGTCCGGCCTTTCAAACGGAGCCCATTTCAACCACCCCTAATGTGTTCACCTGTTGAAAGCCATTTCATTTGAAATGTAAAAATGCCCGAGCACGATCCCAGACTAATTTGAGCAGGTTAGTGTGAATGGCTGCAAAGTGCATCAATTTTCAAATACAATTAAGGTGTGATGCTTTTAAAAGATATGCCTTGACCGCTGTTTATTGACGTTTTTACGCCCAAAACACACTCACACACATTGGTCAAAGCCTTTTGTATGTCACGCTGGCTAACACACAGGGTTTTCTCCAACCACAGCAAAACCCTTTTTTCCTTTCCTCTCCTCCCCGCTCTCTCAATGCCCTCCCCTCTCCTGTCGTCTCTTCTCCATCCTCCTCTTCCCTTCCCTTTCTACTCTTCTCGTCATCCTCCCTTCTCTCCTCACTTCCCTCTCTCCTCCTCTTTACCTCCTCTCCTCCCTCCCTCCCTCTCCGACAGGTCTGAGTACCTGTGTTTATCTCTCAGTAATGTATCACAAATTTGATGACACGGTAACCTTGGAGTTGGTGCTGCCCGGCAATCAGTGGGCCACTCTCACGGCAGAGGGAGGGGTCTCTCCTCCCCCCTTCCTCCCCCCTCCTCGCGCTACCCACAAAATCGTTTGCATAAGGAAGATGCCACCGGAGAGCTGGCTCATGCCAGTTGAGGGTTACCTGCCCACTGCCGTTATTGTATGTAATTACCCAGCCAATCTGTTCAGCTCAGCAGGGTCTGCTGGTAATCATAAGGTAGCAATTGGCAAAATGGAAGGCAAGACAGAAGAGAAGAGAGGAGGGAGGGAGGGGCGCGCGTTCATTCTACAGTTTAAGAGCGAATGAGGAAAAGGAGGGATGGGGGAAGGAAGAAGAGATGGAGGAGTTGATTGCTGTCGGTAAGTGCATCTTTCTCGTCAACGTGTTCTTGGCTGGTATGATTTCACACAATTATTTGCTCCTTTTAGTCTTGAATGTGTAGAAGAGGGGAAAAAAGTAACGTCATAGTTTATGAAAATGGTACCAAATGGCTCACCTCACTAAGTAACGATACAGCTCTGCTTTGTCAGTTACTAAACCATCAAATCTCAACTTTGACCCTGAAGACAGTTCCAGAAGTCTTAAACAATGACCCCAGAAACAAAAATAGCCTTGACCATTGTTGTTATTTAGATGGGTCAAGGAAGCAGAATTCAGTGTGTACTTTGATTGGATTATTCCTGTAGAAGGTTTTCTTCCTCTGTGAGATGGCAGAGTGATAATTGCATTTGCTCAATGTTCACAAGGCTCCGGGCAGATGTAAGCGTTCGGTCGTCGTGTGCCAAAGCGGAGTTCATCATTTCATGTTTGATTTCTGCCCCCTCCAATGTTGCTGCATGCGGACTGTGAAATTTGACCACTGTTCTCTCTCGCTCTCATCACCCTTTCCTTTTCGCTACTCACAGAAGACTTCCAAAAGAAAGAAAGTGGTTGATTATAAAGAGGAGTCTGATGATGAGACCGATGGCTCTCCCGCCAAGAAAAGAAAAGCTCCAAAGAAGAAGGGTAAGAATCCTCTTCTCCTCTCCTCCTCTCCCACTTTCATGTCCTCTTCTCAGGTTAAATCACACTGAATATGTTTTGATCTTCTCCCAACAGAGGTGAATGAAATTAAAACTGCCAGCCCTAAAAAGAAGGCTGCCAGGCCCAAGAAGGCTGCCAGGCCCAAGAAGGCTGCCAGGCCCAAGAAGGCTGCCAGGCCCAAGAAGGCACTGGTGGAGATGGGTACTCAGACCACACCTGGCCTGAAGAGAGGCAGAGGTAGACCCAAGAAAAATGCAGAACCAGTAGATTCAGAATGAGTTGTACTTCTGCCGTTCCAGCCAGCCTTCCTCTACGCTCACCTTCCTCTCACTGTCTGCTTTTAAGAGATACTCCTTTTTAACAGTTTGTAGAGGATCGTTTATCTGTTCTGCACTGTGCATATTTTTTATATTTCATTTTGTTAACACGCAAGGCCTTCTGTAAGTTCGATAATAAAATATTAATACTGATGTGAGTTTCAGTGGTATACTTTTTCTACACTTAAAGTAATTGAAGACGTGTCTATCATTCTTATGTATGAAATTTTCAATCCAATAGGTGAGAAGTTTGTCCATGCCACTCATCCCACACGTATACAGTACACTTGGTTTCCTAAACAGTTTGTCTTGCATAGTTTCCATATTCAACACAAGAGTAAGTGAAAACTGGTAATCTTCCTCCTCTGTACCCTGTAATGGAGAAGTATCTGTTATAATCTGCTAAGGCTGATGTGAATGTGAAGCGCCAGTCTCCAGTTTGGCCGTGTGTCTGACATGGTCATTTACAATGGGCTGACTGCTCGTGCCCCATCCCTCCTCCCATCTCTCCTCCCTCATTTCTTCTCCTGTCTCACTCTCCTCTTCCCTCCTAGCTTCACCCGTTCCCTCCCCTCCCCCTTTGGCTTATCCTCTCTTCCTCATCCCTTTCTCTCCTCTTCCCCATCCCCTTTCCTCTTCCCCATCCCCTTTCCTCTTCCTCATCCCTTTCTCTCCTCTTCCTCATCCCTTTCTCTCCTCTTCCTCATCCCTTTCTCTCCTCTTCCTCATCCCTCTCTCCTCTTCCTCATCCCTTTCTCTCCTCTTTCTCTCCTCTTCCTCATCTCTCTCTCCTCTTCCTCGTCCCTTTCTCTCCTCTTCCTCGTACCTTTCTCCCCCGGTGGGTCGCACCCCAGGCCAGCTGGCCCCAGCCTTATAGTGAACTAATTATGGCTGATGTGCAGGACTGCAAATTTAAGTGACATGATTTTCACCCTCAGCAGTTTCCTGTGTGTATCAAGAATGGTCCACCACCCAAAGGACATCCAGCAAACGGCAGGCCAGTGGTCGAAAACGGTTCATTGATGAAAGGGGACAAAGTAGGCTGACACGAATTGTGCAGAGCAACAGACGGGCTACAGTTAGTCAACTTGACAGTCCAGTACAACATTGGTGCCCAAAGACCCATAAAATAATCCACAACTCATCGTACCTTGACACGAATGGGGTATGGCAATCAGTGACCTTAGAGTTGAACTTCTTTCAGTAAAAAACAAGAAACTGCGGTTGCAGTGGGCTAAGGAACAACACTGGAGAATTTGAAAAACATTGCCTGGTCTGATGAATCCCACTTCCTGCTGTTTCACGCTGATGAAAGGACTAGGGTATAGAGTACATGCATCCATCATGCTGCGTGTCAACATTGCAGGCTGGTTGTGGTGTGGGCTGTGTTTTCATGGCACACATTGGGCCCCTTGATAAAAGTGGAGCAGCGTCTGAATGCCAATCAGGTGCATCCCTTCATTGCAGCAGTCTATCCATCTGCAAATATATATTTTTTTTTTCAGCAGGATAATGACCAATGCCATAAGTCTAGGATTGTCCAGGAATGGTTCCACAAACATGGCAGTGAATTCAACTTACTGCAGTGGCTTGCCCAGTCACCAGATCTCAATCCAATTGAGCATCTGTGGGATGATATGGAACGAGCTATTCGAAATCGACACAACTGTGGGAAGCATTCGAGTGAACATGGGCCAGCATCCCTGTGAAACACTTTCGACACCGTGTAGAGTCCATGCCCCAACATTGGGGCTGTTCTGAGGGCCAAAGGGGGTGCAACGCAATATTAGGTGTTCTTAATGTTTAGTACACTCAGCGTACGATTTCATATTGATTTAAGGTTTCAAAATACATCCACCTCCTTACATGATAGGAATAGTAAAGTATATTACCATCTTCTTTCTTTCTTTGAAAGTGCGACCTCTGCTTGTTTCCAAAAACATCAAACCTTTTGTCACCTGAGCTGTATTTGTTCATATACATTGTCCACCTCATCATGTCTCCTCTCCCTCCTCCACTCAGCCCATACAGACCTCTCATCTCACTGTCGGAGCTAGAAGCACAAGCATTTCGCTACACCCACAATAACATCTGCTAAACACGTGTATGTGACCAATAATGTTTGATTTTATTTGATCTCCTCTCCCTCCTCCACTCAGCCCACAGCCCATACAGACCTCTCCTCTCCCTCCTCCACTCAGCCCATACAGACCTCTCATCTCCTCTCCCTCCTCCACTCAGCCCAAAGCCCATACAGACCTCTCCTCTCCCTCCTCCACTCAGCCCATACAGACCTCTCATCTCCTCTCCCTCCTCCACTCAGCCCAAAGCCCATACAGACCTCTCATCTCCTCTCCCTCCTCCACTCAGCCCACAGCCCATACAGACCTCTCCTCTCCTGTACATGTTCTTTTTTATTTTTTTATTTTTTTATTTTAGTCATGTACAGTTGGAGTCATTAAAACCATTCCACAAATTTCTTGTTAACAAACTATAGTTTTGGCAAGTCGGTTAGGACAGCTACTTTGTGCATGATACAAGTAATTCTTCCAACAATTGTTTACAAACAGATTATTTCACTTATAATTCACTGTATCACAATTCCAGTGGGTCAGAGGTTTACATACACTAAGTTGACTGTGCCTTTAAACAACTTGGAAAATTCCAGAAAATGATGTCATGGCTTTAGAAGCTTCTGATAGGCTAATTGACATCATTTTAGTCAGTTGGAGGTGTACCTGTGGATGTATTTCAAGGCCTATCTTCAAACTCAGTTATTCTTTGCTTGACATCATGGGAAAATCAAAAGAAATCAGCCAAGACCTCAGAAAAAAAATGGTAGACCTCCACAAGTCTGGTTCATCCTTGGGAGCAATTTCCAAACGCCTGAAGGTACCACGTTCATCTGTACAAACAATAGTACGCAAGTATAAACACCATGGGACCACGCAGCCGTTATACTGCTCAGGAAGGAGATGCGTTCTGTCTCCTAGAGATGAACATACTTTGGTGCGAAAAGTGCAAATCAATCCCAGAACAACAGCAAAGGACCTTGTGAAGATGCTGGAGGAAACAGGTACAAAAGTATCTATATCCACAGTAAAATTAG